TTTTTTTTTTTTTTTTTGGTACCAGGGATCAAATTTGGGACCTTTTTACTTGTCAGGCAGGTGGTGGCATGACTGAGCTAAATCCCTGGCCCTTTAAGGGGATTTTGACGATGATTAATGACAATGTACTTTTTACTGTAATTTTAAAATAAAATTTAACATTCACTGTACTTCCTGATCGTACCTTGTATGCCTGCATGAGGGATTAAGGAGAAAGGAAAACTCCCTGACAAAGATATGGTTAGAAGGGCTGGAACTACTGGGGCTGTAGTTGTCCCTATGAATGAGTTTAGTTAGCTAGAATACTCCAAATTTAAGCATTCATATACGCTGCATGCATGATTTTGCCACATCCACATACCACAAATACTAAAATTAAAATTTTTCTTTACATGAACTGTCTCCTAAGCATTACTATTTGTGAAATGTTGGTCTCATAATCCTTTTGCCTTCAAATACCTACCAACACAAATTTATACCTTACAATTAGAAACTAGTGTGCCATCTCTGTATGCCCTCAAATAATTTCATGTACCATCAGTGGCATGTACACATCCTCTGGCACGTACACCATCACCCACTTTGCCAATCTAAACAGAGGCAAAGGAAGGATTCCTGCAATAACTAAAAAAACCTAGGGTCAAGCGCAGTCCTCAGGTGAGTCTGCAAAGGTTTAATGGGCACACGCTATGAGATCTGTGGTCTCTGCTTTCAACTATCAAAGCTACTACTTGTGCTGAACAACTCTAATACACGAAGCTACAGAAATGGAACAGTGGTATATAATTAACAAGAGCAATGACTGCTACATAATTCAGGATCAGGGGCCACCATGAGGTTAGGAGGAGCAGAGGAACTGAGAAAGACTTCCTGGAACATGTCAATTGAATAAAAGTATTTGTAAATATTCACTAATTCAGTGAAATGAGGCAGGTCTTGTGGGATATACCAGCAAAGTGTAGGACATTGTCTGTGTGCTCCAGGAGCTGATAATATGGCTGAAAAAAAGATCCCAACACAAATGAAACAAAGAATAAATATACTGAGGTATCTCCAAAATTTTATCACTTATTCCTTTCAATAAAAAGTCTGAGCCCACAGCTCCCCACGTGTACTTACATAGTTTTATCAATGTATTAATTTATAAATCACAGATGCTTACCACTCTAAGTCCAAAACACATTTAATACTACACGTCTAGCTTAGCCTAGTCTACCCTTAAACACATATTAGTTACAGTTGGGCAAAATCATCTCATATAAATCCATTTTATAATAAAGTGCCGAATGTCTCAAAATTTGAAGTATAGTTTCTACCAAATACTGTTTCTGATCCATGGAAAAGCCAAGAAATAGTGACTCTAACCATAAGGACCATCTGTATACATGTACTAATAAGGTCACTGTAAGTATATAAATACAAAATAGATATTTTATGGGCCAGGGATTTAGCTCCATGGTTCTGCCACCTGCCTTGCAAGCACAGCACAAGGTCCCAAGTTCTATTCTTCAGGGGATTGTGTGTGTAAGGCCCTCAGTTTGCAAGCATTGGTCTACAATAAGAGAATTTGGAGAGGCCAGGGAAAGGTTAGTAGAGTGAAGCATGGGGGCTTCATGCATTCTAAGAGGGGGAAGGTACTTTAGAAAGATTTCTTTGGTAGCACTTGTCTCAATTGTAATTTTATATTTCTAACTGAAACATTTTTGAAGGATCCTGTCTTGGTTGTGCTCCTTTGTATATCCCCAGTGTCTTAGTGTCTGGCACATGCTGGGCACTAGAATACTTGTTCGACAAGGACAAAGAACTGCAGAGTGGTGACAGGAGCTATGACAGAAATGGGCAGGCTGGGCGGGGACATTCTCTAATAGACAGATGAGTTCCAATGTGGACTATTAGGCTGTGGTGAGGTCCTTCAGGTGGCTGCTTAGAGGGCAAGGCTGGGTGTTTGGATGTAAGAGGTAAAACCGTAAGGTGGCTGCAGGTTGCACATTCCCCGGGGAGGAAAGCTGGTGGGAGAGAGTATGTAGAAGATGGGGTGAAAAGAGGCAGAGGCAGAAGTCAGGGAGGGGAGAGTAGTGAATCTTGTTTGGTAATTTTATGGGGGAAACAGACACAGCATTGAGTCCATTAGATCAATAAGAAGGATGAAGAGAAGTCAAGCGAGAAAGCCTCCTTCCACGCTTCACGCCTGGCCGTCTTCCCAAGGAGCCAACAGCGAACGTTTTATAGTTTGCTGGGATGGGTCACATCTGGCTCCCTGGTGTCTGGGTGTGTAGTTCTATTAAACTAGCTAATGGAGGCACTATTTTTTGTAGTCCCAAAGGGTAACCTGACTCTGTTAGCCAGAGGACTGAGTTCAAAGCTAAGTTATGAAGAGAACCTTGTGTCTTAATCCCATTCTTTTCCCTCTGAATGGGTTTATATTTGGAGGCTTTGATGAGTTTATGAATTGAAACAAACACTACACTGCACATCTCCTGTGGGAGCGGCCAGCAGAGGACACAGTGTGCGAGGAAGGGCTCTTCTGAAAACTTCCACTGCCCTCACTCATAAGGTCTTCTAAAGATTCTGTGGTACTTACTGGCTGGACTGAGACCTGGAACAAGTGAAGAGAGACACGCGGGTGGGGTTTGACTTTCCAGGGGTGGGGAAGCTAGTCTAGCTGTGCACTGGCCGCTTTCTGTCCCAGCCTGGGCCACTGTGACTTCTACTCACTCCTCTGCATTTAGGTTAGGACAGAAAAGAAATGAACTCGTACCCTAAGAAACTATTCTCCTCCTTGCAATCTCCAATAGGGACCCACTTACATTTTTGTTTTTCCGAAACAGTGTTCTAGCTTCATTTAGCATGTAGTGTTTTTCTTCCATGGTGTCTTCCATCTGCCCTGATGCCGCCTGCCATTTCCTTGAAAGCCTGAAAATGCTACGGTAGAGGCTAAGAACTTCTTGTCGTGTTGCTGTTGTCATCTTCAGACCCACCAAAACAGAGAGATTATTTGTGTCAGAATGTGATTTGACAGTAGGCAGCTAGGCACATGTACATTAAAAAAAAAAATCAAGATCTTTAATTAGTCTAGGAATAATTGCTCTTTCTCAACAGATCTGTTGGATAGCACTGCCAGAATGGCACAACAGAAACTCTAGGGATCTCACAACTGGCTTCGTACATCATCCCACGGCTGAGGGTTGGTCTACCATGCTCTTTGTCAGGAAGACCATTTTTACAAACACTGCAAAACCAAAAATCACAATTACTATTCTTTAAAACCAGTCTTACCAGAATATCTTAGAAATGATGCTTTGCAGTGGTATTTAATAAAATTGTATCACTACTTGGGTAGCTAGAAGGTACATTTGGATAACTGCATTTTCTAGTTAAATGAGAACTAGAATTTATTGTACAAGTTGAGAACACAAGGCTTCCAGGGTATGGCCAGCTATATAAATGAGGGAACTTGGCTGGATGGGGACAGTGGCCACACGGATAGGACATGGACCCCTGTAAGGGAACGGTTGCTACCCAGCTAGCTCCTGCCAACTAAAAATTAGGGCTTAATGATGCCAGGTTTTCTCACAGCATAAAGTAGTTGGCAACCAGATTTTTTAATAATATGAAATCTCAAAAAGACAATCAGTATTTTTGAAAATGTCAACACCATGCAAGTCAAATAAAATAAGTAGGTAGGACTCAGTTCCCCCTAGAGGACCTCAGGTTGCAATTTCTCTTTCAGTTCATCATAACCTTTTAGAAAACATTTATCTAATCTCTTGTCCAAAAAGAACTATACAGTAAATGTTAACTGAGATGTGTTCTATACATGTACCCACCCTCCACAATGCATGTAATTACTGTATGACATAATGAAAACATATACTAATAAAAATTTTAAGAACACTCTTACAATGACTGAAGACCTTAGGAATAATTTACTGTGAAATATCAGCTTTAATTCCAGAGGATTTAACTAAATGAGAATTGACCTAGTATATTCCTTCAACAAAGCTTAAAGAATAAATTATGTATATAGTTGAAACTCCTACTGTATCCCTTTCAAATCATTCTAACTCCTTTCTTCTAGAAGGAATTGCCACCCTGAACACTGTCATGCATAAGTAATATACATTATATATAATCATAATTTTAAGATTCATCCATGTTGTCCCATGTAGCTTTAGTTGAGGCATTCTCACTGCTCGATTCAAGCTTCTGTATGAAGATATCCCAGTACACCTGTCCTGTTGATGTGCATTAGTTGTTTCCTTTTTTTTTTAACATGTCAAAACCTCAGCCTATTTCTTTATTATTTAGTTTCTATACCTAAAACTTCTGGAAAAATAGAAAATAAATCCTACCACTGGAGAGTGAGGGTTCTGCTTAGTCAGACTTCGAATAATGAATATTGTTCTTCCCCTGACTGGGAAGATGACGGATGTGGTGAGTAAGTAGCAGGGCCAAGCACTTGCACGTCACCTCAAACGGGATCATCAGGACTGGAAAGCAGGCTGCTCGCTGCCGTCTGGGACCACGATCCTTGTCCAGCCCCAAGAGAAGGTGTGGCTGCTGGAGCTGATGCGCCTTGGGGTGGTCCTGCACTTATTAGAATGTGGCAGATGAAGAATGATGGGGGCTGTTTATTTAGGTATGCTAGGTGACTTCAAGGAATCACCTTACGCCAAATTTCTCTTTTGAAGATGGCTGCTCCCTTCTACTTACTTTACCTTGGTGACTTCTCTTGAGCAATGAAGAACGTAACAAGGTTTAACCATTTGATGAGAAGCTTGAAAGCACTACTTCACCCAATTCAAAGGTTAAACAGATCAAATTTATGTACAACACCAATTCTGAAGTCCACAGTGCTGCACAGAAAAAAATGCTTAAAAGGAATTCATAAACAGCAAGAGAGAGCACAATGCGTAATAAAAACCCAGATGAGATGATCACATTTTTCCTGGTAAGGAAACAGGTTTCTGAGTTTCTAGCTCTCCCTAAAACACCATGGTTTCATCTGAAAATAAGTGAGTCAGTTCCTGTGAAGGGCAGTGACAGCTATTAATGATTGCTTCACATCCCAGTCTTTAACAGATGAAACTTCCTTGACTTCGAGATACTTGTGATGGAAAGTGAAGAAAAACAGGCATATTAAAACCACTGTGAAGTTCTCCAAAGCCTGACTTTCACTGGTTTTCTTTCACTCATTTACAAAGTGCTGTTTCAAACTCTAATTGAAGCATATACCATACACCATAATCTGATACATAAGCCCTGCAATTAGGTTATTCAATGTAATAAAGCAGCACTAATAATTGGTACTTAATAGGACTATTTTCAAAACACTTTAATTAGTGTGCTTTGAAAACTAATCCTGATAGATTATGTTTCTCTCTTCAACATCAGGTGACCCAGAAAACCCAAAGATTTCCAGAGAGAAGGATCTAAAGCTGTATTCAACATTGAGCACTATTAACAAGTCTAGCCAACCACTTCCTCCCAAGTCTTGAAAGAAATGGTAAGAAAAAAATGCTTCTTTTTGTTGTTTTCTTAACCCCATCTCCCCATCCCATTATTTAAGGAGCCATGATTTTTTCTTTTTTGCCTAGGGGCATATATTCGTTTTGTTCCCACTTTCGTGAAGGCTACCCCTGACTTTCTCCCTTTACTGAGCAAACCCTTCAGTTCCCAGGGACAAGGTGGATGGCTCAGGAAGTCCTTCATCCCCTTGTACTGCTTCCCCACCCATACACACCAGGTTAGGGCTCCTGTTGTACCTTCCTATTGGCTGTTGGCAGTTCTTCTTTGTAGCACTCATCATTTGAGTAATGGTTAATGTCCTTTTCCCCAGCAGGATGCTGAACTTTATGGGGACAGTGGCTACCTATTTACTGCTAAATTCTTAGCACCTTCTCTGTTATATAATCAGTTTGCTGAATAAATGAAAACATTTCAAGCTGTGATTCTAGAAACAGAACCAGTCACATACAGAAAAAATTTAAAGCTCCTTCCCTTTTGGTTTATATTTTTGTCTTTGCTCTTGGAGGGTAACACATTTAGAAAAACTGTCTTCTCCCAAAGGGTTTTCCTCCCTGTGCATCTAATGGCTTGAAACCACATTTATTTCTCTCAAGATTAATGCAAGAGGGGACAGGGATTTAGCTCAGCGGTGCTGCGCCTGCCTTGCAAGCGCAAGGTCCTGAGTTCAATCCCAGGTACTAGAATGACAACAACAATAAAAGATAATGAGATAGTAGATAACATTTTTCCTTCACGAGTGTCAGGGACTGATCTGAAATAATAGGGTGTGTTGGGAGTTTCCTTTGGACAATAGGCCAGAATATCAGTTGTCTAGAGGATCCCAATCTGAACTACAATCTCAACTGGCTATGAAATCTATTCCCACAGAACTTTTACAATTAAAGTTTTATAACATTTCCTCTGAGATTGACACTTCTTGAAATTCCTTGCTCCTTTTCATCTCCTTAATCCTTAAATCCCAGAATGAAGAAAGACAGAAAATATGACATGTGTCTGGAAGGAAACATGACTGGAAGCTAGCCTAAAATCACACCTCATCTATAAACAAAGTACCGAGACGAAACTCATCACTGAGTGTCTGCTGTGTAGAAAAGGCTCACAGGTGCTGCTCTGAGCCTAGTTAGAAGTTTCTCCTAATGCGGGTATCCCAAAATTTGGTTGGAGATTTTAGATCTACACTGCACATATTAGTTGTGATTATTTTAATGTATATTAGAATAGCCCATTCAACCTCTGATTTAGATTCTATGTGAAACAGATTGTGTTCGAAGTAAGTGTATCCAAAAATTTTAGGTTGGTTTAAAATATAAACAAGACCAAAAACTGAATAATAACTCTGAGTAACAGTGTGGGAGCCACTGCTCTAAGGCACCCTGCCTGCTATGTTATGCCACTTCGTCTTGGTGGTCTTCTACTTAGTCTCTTTTCTTCTGGTGCTCACCTTACCTTGTAAATACTGACAAGGCTTTTTCAGAGCACCCTTCTCCCTGTGTCTATCACACCAGCTACTGCTCTTTTACAGTCATTTCATTACAAGTTTTTCCTTCCTTCAGTCTCTAAACTCCTGGAGGGCAGGGACTGTTTTGTTCATTACAGTAATAGTAGTAGTAGTAGTAATAATAATAATAATAATAATAATAATAATTAATGATAATAGCTACATTGACTTTACACTTAATGTGTGCCAGACACTTTATAAGGTGCTCTGCCTGTATTAACCTCCACAGTCATCACAACAATGCTAGGAGGCAGATGCTACTATTAGTCTCACTTACAAAGGAGGAACCTGATGTAAAGAGAGATTAAGTAACTCGTTCAAGGTCCTACAGCTAGTAGTAGGCAGGGCCAGGGTTCAAACCAGACAGTCTGGAGTCTGCACCCAGATTTGTAATCACTAAATAGGCTGCTCCATCTCAATAAATGTTCTTGAATGTCTGTTGTTTGATTTGAAGAGCCCAGATTGTGTAACAAAGGGAACCAATTTCAATCCCTTGCTGTACAAAGAACAAAGGAAGCAAATTTTTTGCACCTGAGTGTGAATTACAATACTGTAGTCTCATAAAAAAAAATCTCATATCCAACCTGCCCCTTCCCTTCTTCGATATGATGGTGCACATCAGCACTTCTAAAGGCTGTGCCCTTGGCTACACTGCTTGCTTTTCATCCCTGTGGCAATCCTGTCCCCTCTGACTCCAAGGGGAGCTGAGATCACAGAAGAGGCACTAGGGTAGGGGTCATTATACTGCTACCGCACCACAGGCCTTCAGTCTTCCCTTCAAGGACCCATTCATTCATCTGCTCAACGTTTATTAAATGCCCACCTCTGATGGACCAGGCACATGGGGGTCCAGGGATATAGTGATAAACAAGCAGCCGTTCTGATCCCCGCCCTCCTAAACCTTATACAGCAGGGGAGAACCAGATGATATAAAAAACAAAAACAATTTCAGAGAGTGATGTGTGCTCCAAACATATAAAAGATGAGTTATTTTAGGTGGTCACCAACATTGCAGCTGAGTCATGATGGTATGAAGAAGCCTGCTAAGGGTAAAAATTAAGTGGAAAGCAGAGAAGGAAGAGGGAACAGCAGGAGCAAAGTTCTGAGGTAGGAAGCAACTTCAAAGATGAATATGAAGGCAGCAAGAGCCTTTGTGAGAAGAGGCCACAGGGCAACACAGTCCAGTACCAGCTGAGGATGGGACCTTGTAGTGTAACAGAAAAATAAGACACTGGCAGGGTTTTGTAAGTTGGAGTAATAGTCTACTTTCCATCTTCTAAAATGTCCTGGACTCAAGACTACATCATAGCCACTTATGATTCCACCACTGTTCCAGATGATAAAACATGACTCTTACTGCCACCAAATACTGACAGGAAAGTCAGGATCAAAAGTCTCAAAAGCTGGATAATTATTTCTCCGTCTGTCCACAAGCTTTTTCTGTTTTTATTTTGGAGTCAGTGATGAGGAATAACGGGCAGTGGTCAGTCTAAAAGAAAACAACTAAACACCAGCTCACCTTTCCACCTGCTGTTGAGGCTGTGCGTACTGTAAAGGGACCTGGGGAGGCTCCAATAAACTACTGTATTGGGCACACTGAGGTGGTTAGTGTGCTGCAACCTAGTTTTACAGGCCAATCGAAGGACTTGCGAGTTGTAGAGGCCTTATCTACTTCACCACTATTTCTTCACCTCTGGAACAACCCCCTCATCCCGCCACTTTTAGAAAGCCCACTGAAGCACGAACACTTAGCAGTTTTAGAGTAGAGATGAAAACTCCTTTTCCCAGATGGAATTTATAGAACTATGACTCTAGTCTCAGGAATGTCAAAATTCCACATGTTGGAACGCTCACGAGGCTCTGCCTTCTACTGAAGAAAAAGTGTTGCAGACCCAACAAGAGATGGGACAGAAAAAGGAAAGAGGACTTAATCCTGACTCTGAAGCCCTGGAGGTGAAGGGAAAGACCCCTTTCCATTCTTTTTAAGAAAGCCTTGACCTTAGGTTGAATTTGTTTTTCTTATCACAAGTAATGGTTGCAATGTAGCTGAAATTTCCCTCAAGTACTTTATAATTTGGGCAGGCAGAGAGAGAGAGAGAGAGAGAGAGAGAGAGAGAGAGTGTGTGTGTGTGTGTGTGTGTGTGTTGGGTGGGGGGTAGATTGTGAAATCCACCCAAACATAATGACTCTTACATTTACTGAGCACTGGTGCACATCTGTGTCCTGCTGCTGTTTCCTTCGATCTAGGACTCCTCCTCCCTACATGAAGGCCCCATCTCATGCAACTCTGCTGACCTTCTGCTTTTCATCCTTTGGTTTTTAATCACTTCTTGAGGGGTGACTTTTTCACACCGAGACTGAGTTACAGCCTCTGCTATGTGCAGCCCTGGCGCCTCTAGCCCATCCCATTGTAACATTACACGCTCATGATTGTGTCTGGCCTTTTTCATTAGGGTCTCTCATTCATTACACTCCTGCAACTAGTACACAGAAGAGTATCGAGAATGTGTTAGGAGAATACATTTACACACACAGAACAGCCATCAGTAATGTTCATTCTCAATCCGAGATACATACAATGGTATCTGGACATCTCTCTAGTGAAGATCCCACAACACTTTAAAAGTAATTACACTTTTGTGCCCTGAATAGCAGAGAATGCCTGTTTTGGTTTTGGGCCTTTAAGTTTTCCTACATTTATAAGGATATAATACCAAAAAATGAAATGAACTCTGGGTAGACAAACCTGGGTTTTAATCCTGATTTCACCCCACAGGGCAGATTATTAATCTTTCTGAGGCCCCTACAACTTGCAAGTCCTTCCATTGGCCTGTAAAACTAGGTTGGAGCACACTAAGCACCTTGGTGTGCCCAAGATAGTAGTTTATTGGAGCTTCCCAGGTACCTTTACAGTACTCACACTCTAAAATGTAATGGAGCTAACAACAGAACCTTCTTCAAAAAGCTGTAGGAATTAATTTATAAAATACTCCAATCAGTGCTAGGAGCCAGGTGTAGTAACATACTCCCATAATCCTAGCACTCTGAGATGAGGGAGGAGGATCACCAATTTGAGCCTAACCCAAGCAACTTATAAGACCCTGTTTTTAAAAAAAAAAAAAAAAGGTCAGGGATATAGTTCAGCATGAAGGCTATTGGAGAAACAAAACAAAAATAAAAACACCACTAGCTGCTTAGCACTAGGACTTAAAGGGGAAGGTTACCTGACTAGGAGGAAATGAAGGAACAGTGAGGCTTCGTTTATGTGTGCTAACTTTGTCTGTAGGGAAGGGAAAAAAGTACATGGCCTGTCAGTGAATTTATTGCTTTGTGGTAGTAATGGATTTTCCTAAAGCTGTTTCCCTCTGATCATTAATAATCCCTGTACAGTAAAAGGCTATTGTTCTTCAGTATGAGTAAATAACCCTGCTGGAGACACCCCTTATCTTCAGACCACAGCACATACTTCTTACTGGAAATATAATGCAAGTGCCAACACCAAAGGCACGATCAGGCTTTCCTTCCTACTTTTCTTCCTTTATTTCATACTCTTTGTTTGTCCTTAGAGCACTTTTCAGTACACACAGTATCCTATACAATATCATTGTCACTGCAATCAAATAACCTTCAAATGAAACGGTGCCCCACACATACTGTCCTTCCCCTCCATCAATCAACAGCCCCCAGCCCCTGCCCCATCGGCCCCCGCCACACACACCATGGACTTGTTTTCTGCCCTGCATTCAGTTTTGGTTACTAGAATTCAAAAAGGGAAGAGTGAAGCCATGTAGTTTTGTAAATCTCAGGATATGCCTGTGGGGCCTACTTAATTGTTCATAACCACATCTATTCTCCGAAACAGCATCTTTTTACACAGAAAGTGACAATATGGTGTGTCAGAGGTAGGGGGTAGGGAAGAGGGTAGAGAAGGGAAATATTATGTTAGGGTCTATAATATGAAAATTATTCAGAACAACGGGTCAAATCAAAATACTAGTATCCGAAAGATTTCTGAGATAATTATCTCAAACAAATCGCAGGAAGCAAACACCCTTCTAAATACAGGTGTGTCTCAACTTGCAGTGGCGTTAAAGCCTGATAAACTCGTGATGAGCTAGAAACACTTGAAGAGGAAAATGCATGTAATACACCTACTTAGCAAACATTACTGCCTTGGTTGTTCACCTGGATGGCTGACAGAGCCGCAGCGAGTGCACTGGCCAGGTCCACCACAAGGAAGAAGGATTTATTGTACTACATGTTGCTAGTAGAGCGAAAAATCAAAATTCAAAGCCTGGTTTCTTATGTAACTTGTATCACTTTCACGTCATTGTAAAGTCAAGAAATCATAAGTCAAACCATTGTAAATTAGTTGGGAACCATTTGTGTATTTTTCTTTTTCCCAGTATGGGGGATAGAAGTCAGGACCTTGTGCGCGTGAGGCAGGCACAGCACTGGAGTTAAATCCCTGCCCCCCAAACTGTGCATTATTACAGCACTAGAGCGCTCAAAATTATACCTGTGGAGTTGAACTCCAATCAGACCATTGCGACCGAGATATATCAAACAATATTTGTTTCATCAGACAGAAATTCTAACTGGAAATCAAGTTATGGTTCCTCAATTCAAAAGAAATTAAAGTACCTGTTTTCTTATCAGCATACTTTAAGAGGCAAAGACAAGATAAGGGTCAGTCAGAAGTAGAAGGTGTCAGATATGATTGGAACAGCTGGAAAGAGACCAGTGCTAAAGATCAACCAGCTGTTCATAACTCCCTAGCCAGAATTTTCCATTCTTCATAACAACTAGGAAAGTCAGAAAGCCAAAACACTAATTTAGATTCCTGATTTGCGATAATCTTCTAAGAAAATGGATTAGGAAACTGGCAAAAGGGCTTTGGTTACATTAGATACAGGGGCTTTCTAGCATCTGACCCAAGATCTAACTATTAGATAACAACACTGCACAGGAGACTGAGTCTTCAGATCAGTTTCCAAGTACTCTCCACCTATCAAATAACTATCAAGTGAGCAACTTTTCTGACCTGTAGAGGTACGAGAGCTCCTTACTAGACCAAGCCCTTTTAGAGTAGAAGCAATGACTGCCCATTTTTATATGCACAGAATAATTAGCACCCAGAGTACTCTCAAGTTTCTCCAGTCCAGTGCTGACCAAAAGAACTTTCTGTTATGGAACTGTTCTGTCTGCCCTGTCCAAGAGGGTAGTATATATACTGGAGGTCAGCATGACGGTACATTGCTGTAACCTCAGGAAGCCTGAGGCAGGAAAATTCCAAGTTCAAGTCCAGCTTGGGCAACTTAGCAACATCCCTTCCTCAAATATAAAAAAAAAAAAGAAAGAAAGGGTTGGGATGTAGCTCAGTGCAAAGGTCTTGGGTTCAATCTCCAGCACAGCCAAAACAATAATGCTTTGAGCATTTGAAATTTGGTGTGTCTGGGGAACTGAACTGTTTTATTTAAAGTCATATGTGGGTTGCAGCCACGTAGGGACAGCATAGCTCTAGACCAAGAATTACAAATCAAATGCCCACAGGGATCAGGCAGGCAGAGCAAAGAGAAGAGGCCTTTGGCCCACTTGGGTAATAAACCACATAAAAAGGGAAAAAAGCAATTCTATAGCTCTAGCTAACTCGTTATGTAGTTAAACTCTAGGAACCTCAGGCTGGTGTCAGACTGTCTGATTTTTCAAATGAAGGTGATGATCTGGATTTTGTGTCCAATTTTTAAATGTTGGCAAGTAAATTAAGAGTTTAAATTACTCTGTGGGTTGAGCAATGTTTGCAGGCGATATCCGTTTTGCCATTTTGCAACTTCTAATCTACTCTGTTCTGTTGGTCAGTAGCAGATCCAAAAGTGAAACCCAAGCCTTCTGATTCTTTTTTTGATACCCTTTCCACTATATCATGAGAATGACCAACTGTGGTGGCACTGGCAGGAGCAACAGAAAGAAAAAACCCTCTGCCAGAAGCTACTAAATTCTATGGTTGATACCTTATGAAAACTGTGTTCCTACCCAGCCAAAGAGCCAAAACAAAATAATCCATGAGAAAGTCAGACATTCAAATAACATTTATGTAAGGAGTCAGGTTTTCTAGACAGGACACAAATTACCTGTGCACGAGTCCAAAAGCAATGATGGCTGGGAGAGGAGGGAGGGAAGAGATTTGAGCCAGGCCTTTGAGGATGGGTCTCACAGATTATGAGGGTTAGTGCCATGAATCCAAGATATGAAGGAGCCTCATCCTTTTACCTGTGAGGTCTTGTCTATTTCAAGAGTCTCCTTTGCCAGCTTTTCCTTCTCTGAGCAACCTCTAAATTTTATGAGCCTGGGGGAGTTTGGGAACTTTCTTCCAATGTGATCTAGAAATAGTTCCCATTTATAAGCTGCAATTACTACCTTTCCCTTAACGTTATTAAACTTCTTGGTAACTTCTTTTGGATTGTTGATAGACTTTTCACACTACGATATTCCCTTCCAACTTGTTTTCCCTTAGGAAAACTCTCTCCCACACACTTCACATCTAATAGTTCAGCAAGTCTTGCAAGTTGATCCTCCAGAATATATTCTGCATTAAATTCTCTTTATTTCCACAGCGACGACCCTTTCTTTCAGCACTCTCACACCACCTCCTCTCCCGTGGCCTATGGGAACAGACTCGTAACAGGTCTGACTACCCCTCCTCTACCCAGCACCATGAGTGACTTTTTTAAGAATGTCACTCAGGTCACGTCACTATCCTTCTTTAAACCCTTGGGTAACACAACAGCCAAACTCTGTCCTTGGAAAAAAGGCTCTGATCAGGTCCCACCACGTCTCAAGCTTCATCACGCAACATTTTGCCCCTTTCTGCTTCAATCTCACTGGCTCTTATCTTCGCTTAGCTCATTCCCTGCTTTTCCTTCTCCTTTGTCTTAGGATTCCCCATAGTGGGGGCCCTCCCTCACGTCTTCTATCACTTCACCCGGTCTTTGGAGAACATTTCTCGCTTGTTGATACTTATTGGTTTACTTGTTAGCTCATTCCTCTTCAAATGAAATGTTAGGGAGCAAGGCTTTCGTCTTATTCTCATGTTTCTTGATCGACGGGATTAATGCAGCTGGCTGTACTGTTTTAAGAGTCTTCGTTTCTGCCTAGTTTAGACCGACCTCTCGCCCTGGAATTGCTCCTACCATCCCCCATTTACATTACAGGACCCCAAAGTTTCAGAAATGTCTCAAGACGGAACAGGCCTCCCCTTCCTGGCCCACGAGCCACTTCGTTAAGGCAGATCCCTGAGGTCAGTGGCGATGAAACCGCGCCGCCTTCGCGAGGCTGGGGTCACAAAGGCGTGTCTTAGCAACAACGCACCCGCACCCCCACCCCATCCTAGTCCCTGGGGAGCCAACCCCTGCCCCCGGTTCCCAGCGCCTGGAGTCAGCACCTCCATCCCTTACACTCACTCTGCGTCAGTCCTGCCTTCCCCCACCCACAGAAGCGCCGCAGCCCCTGACGGGCTGGGAGGAGGTGGCACCCGGAGCTTTGCTGAACCCCAGCAGACAGAGCATCCGGCGGTCCGGTAAACCAGGCCGGACCAAACCACTGGGAGGACTTCCGTGGGAGCATTAGTTCCAGGTCAGGGGTAGTCTAGAGCCTTCCAAAACTTTCTAATCTACCCTGTTTCCCGCCGCATCCAACAAAACAGCCAACCTCATCCTCTCCCTTTTGTTCCTTTACTCTTTTGGTTGTCTTTCTACCCCAACGTAATAAAAAAAATGGTCCAGCTCAGCCCCTCCCAACCCCTCCGTTCCCGGACTACGTCTTTGCCCTTACTTGGCGACGGCTTCGTACGTCTTTGCTTACGTCACGACGTAGCTTCTGCTCGCCTCCACCCATTCTCCCTCCTGGAGCTGGCAGCCGGCGGGGTTACCGGAAGTGATGATGCAGGAGGCGATGGAGGGGGCGGGGCTTCGGGGCGGCCGCCGCCGGTGGGCCGCAGATGAAGAGGAGGCGGTGGCAGCGGTGGAAGAAGAGGCGGCGGCGGTGATAGGGAGCCTGGAAACGCGAGCGGGGATGGTAGGTGGTTTGGACCCGCCAGGCCGCCGTCGTTTCCAGAAAGGGTTTGACTGGAAGAACCTCTGGAGCAGCTGTGAGTTTGGGAGGGGGGGGAGTTGAGGAAAAGGGGGGAGCATTGAGAGATGAAGGGGAGGGGGTTGGGTTCCTTCGAGAAAAGAGGGGTGGAAGGGAGGAGTGGAAATCAGCGCCTTGTCTGGACTGGTCCCTCTGGAAGAAGAGGCTGGGAGGGGACCCTGTGGCGTGTCAGCCGCAGGGCTCAGAAAACTTACCTACTGTCCCTGCTTCCCAACCGCCAGCACCCCTCAGCCCAGGGCCTGGGGTTGTGGGGCCGGAGCTGCCCTGAAGCGGGTGCAGACTCTGGTCCCAAGTCCGGGGTAAGCGCTGTGAGGTAGGAGCCCAAGGGGGAGGTGGGTGGACGGATCGCCTGCTCCCTCCGCCCTCATTTCCCTCCCCACCCCCATCCTTCTCTAATCGTTAACAGCCTTGGAATTAAGGGGCTCAGACCTGAAGGCCTTTCTGTGCACCTTTGCTGTAAGCGATAACCATCTGTGCCGGAGGTAATGGGGCTGGAGGTTTTGCCTGTATCCTGTATAGGAAGTGGGACGGCTTGATAAATGTATTGTTTTTTCCATTCCCCTCATCCTTCCCTACACACACCCCTCGTTTCCACTTTAATTCTCTGTGGCTGAGTGGCATTCGTGCCCCCCCCTTTCCGCCCTTTGTGGCACTTAGTATCTTGGTTACCTCTTTTGAATTTGGTGTTCAGCCTCTATCCCAGATCTTACTTGAAAGCTTTGTAATACTTCAGTTACAAGCTGTGCCACATTGGGAGTTTCTCTCAACGCCTCTTAGCTCCCGATTATAATGAACATTTTATTTTATGAATACTGGAGTTCCAGAGCCCTTGCAAGGAATCCTGAATGGCATCATGGCCCAAGAATCAAGGTCTCTTGCTCTCAGTACTTAATGTGTGAGAATTTACATGTTGTCAACTTTGCAAAATGATTTGATGTTAGTCTAATTCTGGACTTTTGTGTTTCTCTCCACCCACACTTCATCATGCACTTCAGAGAACAGAAAAACCCCATATTACTTTTTTGTTTCTACAATTGGACAGTAGCTCTTTTATCTTTTTCTCTGTTTATGTGTCTGACACACGGGTCTTCAGTGACTCAATTGACTGGGGCTGACTTTCATCTTATTTATTTAGCGGATTCTTTGTGTACAGGTGGTCTTAAATGAGACATTGATCTGTTTTGTATTAAAAAAAAATACAAACCAGTAATAGATGTGAAAAAAATTGAAGAAAGCAAAGATTAATTAGGAAGAATTCTTTGTTGATAGTTGGTTTAAAAAAGAATCACCAAGTAGGACTCCTCTCTCCTGTCGTGGGTTTCCGAATGAAGTGTAATAATTCGTGTTTTGGTGTTTATTTTTGTAGAAATCCTGTTAAATATGAAACTGTCTTAACTTTAAGAGATAGTGCCTACATTTTAGGGGTCTTTTGATTAGAAAGTGTGCATAAATCCTATCTGTAACTGAGCATGATAAGCAAATTGCTAGAATTATCATAACATGTTCTTCTGATGCTGAGAAAAGTCCTATCCTATTTATCAGGGTTTTCAGGCCTGATAAAACAGAATATTTAATGCCTTGATTGTACAAGCAACTGTGGTTAGGTGTTACACAGAAATACAGTGAAAGAATGACTACTATTCTTATTAATAACATTGTTAGTTCACTATTGAATAAAAAGTCCAAACTTCATTCATTCAGCAAGCATTTATTGACTAGCTACTAAGTGCTGGCTGGTGTTTTGGGCAGTGGATGTACAAAGGTTAACACAAGGAAAAAGTCTATTTTCGCAAGGAAATTTTGTCAGAGTAGCGGGTGGAGACAAACAGATTTTGACTAAATGCCAAAGAGAGTAAGTGATGTGATAGTGTCTAAGGGGTATACAGAAGAGAAACACCTAGCTGGGTATGTTAGCACACAGCTGTAATTGCAGTACTTGGGAAGCTGAGGCAGGCAGATTGTAAATTCTAGGCCAACCTGAGCTACATAACGAGTTTCAAGGCCAGTCTGGACTATCTAGTGAGATCCTGTCTCAACAACAACAAAATGGAGGAGACACTTAAACAGAACTTTAAATAAAAAAGGAACCAACCATGATGAGAGCATCAGCCTTACAGGTTTGGGGAACAGCTGGTCCAGAAACTTGCTGTAATTAGGTTGGATAGTTTCAGCAAATGGGGAGAAGGGTGTAGGAGTATGCAGCAAAACCCAAAGCTGAGTGAGCAAAAGTTGAGGGGAAAGGGACAGGGTCAGAGAATTGGAAGTAGGGTACAGAATAGAGATACAAAATAAGAGCAAGAAGGAAAATAGTCAATAAAACTCCTTTTTAAAAGTTTTTTTTTGGTGGGGGGGAGGGGAGTTGAGACAGGATCTCACTGTGTAGTTCAGGCTGGCCTTGAAGTCCTGACAATCCTGCCTCAGCCTCCCAGGTCCTGGGATTACTGATGTATATTACCACACCCAACTCTCTTTCCTTTCTGAGGGTCTTACTGCTTATTTTTGCAGGTAGTGTTGAACTATGTTTTAAAAAGTTAGCCTGCTGAGGGTGGAAAAACAGGCAGTGATCACCTGGGCCTTTTCTGGCATGTAAATCTGCTAGGTGTTTCAAACTCAATGGGATATTCAATTGAGAACGCACATTTTTCCTTATTTTGTCATATGCTGCTACTTAAAATTGCATAACTACTCTGAATGTGTGGTAATATGAGTCTTCTATCTCTGTGAAGTTAAGGTTGAAGGATTGGGAGCATGGTAATAATATGCCCACAAAAGTGACCATCAAGATCTCAGTTTAAAGTTATTTTTTGTGGGGAAGCAGAATTTATGTTGCAATAATTCCACTCTTGTTCAGCCTTCTGATGAGTAATAACACTTAGACTGAGATGTAGGTTGGTGCTAAAAGTTCACCCAGTGGATTACAATAGATAATGACCATTGTGGGACTCATTTCCACTATGTTGGCATCTTCGGGCTGGCATGTAACCAAGGGATATAACCTTTTGCCTTCTGTTGGGGAACATTCATCTCCAGTAGCCCACTGCTTTTTAAGCTTACCTTGACCATTTTGTCCACTTGAGATGCCTAATCGTGACTCCTTCACCAGTCACTCTTTAAGACATCACAGTGGACTGAAACATGAAGATTATGCTTTTTCTTCCTTTAAACCTCACAACAGGAATGAGTGTGTTTTCTTTAAGTGAATCAGCCTTTCGAGCCAGTAGTTAAGAGATTTAAGTGTTGCTTGGGCTGTTGGTAGTAAAACTACCAAAACTCATGAAGAAAGGTTAAAACCATTTTGTGTTTGGTAAAATAAATCAGAAATTGAGGGCTCTCACCTGCTTTAAGTCCTAGTACTCTAGTAACACCTATAGATGGATTGTTGGAACCAACTTGAATAGAGCTTTTTGAGCAGTCCTGTGCTAAATAGGATATAGTGAATGGCTTCCTGTGGTGTTGAACGTTTGGCATGAGTGCCGCAGGAGGCTGTTTGTTATCATTAAAAGCTCTAAAAGTTCACCTTCACTGCTTAGACTCGTACTGAATTATTGAATTCTGATTTGAATGCAAAGAGAAAGTCTTAGCAAGCAAATAACTAACGTGAATAGTTAGGACCAGGCAATAATAGACTCCACCCTCTATATTAAAGAATTTTTCAAAAGAGTAGAGAATGGTAGGAGGTAGGGGTGTGTGTGTGTGTGTGTGTGTGTGTGTGTGTGTGTGTGTGTGTGTGTGTGTGTGTGTATACATGTGTAAAGACCTATATGTGTGTTTATGTATAGTTTGTGGCAAGGTTAAAGATTTTGGACTTGACTTTTGTGTGCCAGTGCTGATATGCTCTATCTTCAGGGTTATTAAACTATCCACTATAGTCTTAATTTCAATGGCTTATACATAACTCAAGTATGAAAATATCCTGTAGGCTGAAATTTCGTCAGCCAGTTTGGAGACTGGTGGCTCTTTTCTAATTTTTGAAAGGGGGCTGGGTGGGTAGGAGAGTACTTGAACACAGACAGAACCCTTTAACTCCCACAGTGGCCATTAATTGTATTTGGGGAAAGAATCTGCAAATCTAAGTGGATTTGAAGTCTTGGAGCTGGGCCTGCCTTTTAATCTAGGGAATCAGTGAATTTTTTTCTTGAGCTTTGGGCTCTTTTGGTCAAATTCTCCTGAAAGGTGGACAACCTAGAAAGTCAGCTAACGCCACTTGTTATTGAAGTTGTGGGTAAGTGGTTTTGCACTGCATTAGATGATTTAAAGTTAATCTGATTTTACTACTGTTTTGATAGATGTTT